ATGATATCAGTGGGACGCTGCCCGCATCCGTGCTGGTGGGTCCGATGGGCTCCTCTCTGCAGTCTTTCCCTCTGCCTCCGCCTCCTCCGCCCCACGCCCCAGGTCAGCTTGGCTTTGGCAGCGAGGCTCCGGCTTTCCCTTCGGGGCTCTGGACTTTGGGGGTTTTCTTGGTAAACTTTAAGGCAGCACTCAGGGCTTTAACAGCGACGGTGCTGCCCGCTTTGCCCGCTCAGGGACACGTGGTCCTACGCTGCGGGGGACTCGGGCACTGCTCGTGTCCAGGCTCTGGTTCCCGCATCCTGCAGCTCTTGTTGCTCACAGTAGTTTTGCTGAAGCTCGTGGTGGCACCAGCTTTATCCTCAGGGCAGTGTCTCCCATTTTCTCAGGTTTCTTTTTTGCAGCAGCGCAGCCCACCCCGGCCTGTGCTGTGTCAGATAACGCGGTAGCGAGTGTCAGCGATGTCGGAAAAGAGCCGTGGGAGCAGAGTTCAGTGCAGGAGCCCCCACTTTGACAGCCAGCCTGGTGTGCAGCCCCACTGAATGGCACATGACAACGTTTCCTGTGCATTTACCCTTTTGCTTTCGGTCTCCTTCAGGACCCGGAGGGCTTTATCTGCCCCTTTTTCAGGATGCATGTTCATTCCTTCCAGTCTGTGCTGCCTGGCACTGCCCTTGCCTTCCCTCCGAGCTGGCACAGGGAAATAGCAGGTGAAGGTACTGAGTTATAGTCACCCTGGAAGAGCCCAGTAGTGACTCCTGCTGTGTCTTTGACAAGGACGTTGTCCTTCCATCGGTCAGCCCAGCTTCCTCCTCCACGCTGCACCTCTGTCCCTCCTGCCCTGACCTCCAGTGGCCCCATCCCCTTGTCCTTGGGGTGAGCTCCCCGTGGGTGACCGTAGCCTGGGTCGTCTCTCCCTCTGCAGACGCCTTCTTTTTTCCAGCGGAGGTGATGCCCGGCCAGCCTGCCCCGCACCCGCAGTGCCCGCTCTACCGCCCGGACTCCAGCAGCTTCGCGGCCAGTCTGCGGGAACTGGAGAAGGTAACGGCAGTGTGGGGTGGTGTGGGGGGTGGTGGCAGCCAGGAGGAAAAGGCTGTGGGTTTGGGGGCTGGTCGTCCCTTTGGCAGACTTGGGAGCATAAGATTAGGAGAACTGAAAAAAACCTCCTGCCTTAGAGGGCTTTGGGTCTGGAAAAGCATTTTGCTGTGCATGGAGGGGGTGTCATAGTTTCATCTGTTCTTTTGCCACTTCTGGGTGGTAAGGGACGCGATGGCACGCTCTCATCCAGGAGCAGCAAGTTCCAAGCATCCGTACTCCTGGGGGGGATACAACCAGACACTTCCAGTTTGACATTTAAAGGGAATCGTGTTGTGTTTGGTTGCTGGTAAAATCGTTCTTGCTAGGATCTGCTGACGTTCTGGCTGTCTCTTCTCCTAGTGCGGGTGGTACTGGGGACCGATGAACTGGGAGGACGCAGAGATGAAGCTGAAGGGGAAACCGGATGGGTCCTTTCTGGTCCGAGACAGTTCTGACCCCCGTTACATCCTGAGCCTCAGCTTTCGGTCGCAGGGCATCACCCATCACACCAGGATGGAGCACTACAGAGGTAAGAGCCATGGGCGGTTCTGGGGATGCTGCTGACAGCAGAGACCTGTGGTGGGGACCATGAGGTCCCAGACCAGTGCTCAGGGCTCATAGAAGTGGGAAAGTAGCAGCAACGTGTCCTCATTCTTGTGTTGAGGTTCTGCAGGAGGCCATAGAAGCTGTGTTTGACTTTGCTTCTTGTGCCTCTCCCTATAACTCTGAAAAATTGGGGAATACAAGAGTTCCCTGTGCCTGTTCTCAAGCCCTGCTTTGGAAAACTGGACTGGAAAATGATGGTGGCAAGGTCTTTGAGGTCCCATTTCTCCGAGATGCGATGCACAGCAAAGAGTGAGCCTCCGTAGCTGTCGGTGCTTCCCAAAACGCAGCTCGTTTCCCTGTGAAATGAGAAGGAATCTCCCGATGCCGCAGCTCCTCACGGTGCTGTGTTCTCCCCGTGCCCGAGGGATGCTCGGCAGTGGTACCAGCAGCACTGTCCCCCGCTGAGGCTTCAGCTCCACCGCAGCGGGTTTTCATTCCGAGAACTCTTGGCACGCTGTTCGCATCCTTTCTTCCTCCCGCGGGGGCTGCTTCTCGCCTCGCCCACGCGCTTTGTCTGCTCGTCTTCACGGGTGGTTTTCTCTATGGAACCTTTGCACCAGCAGCTGACCTCAGGCTCAGTGCCCACGGAGGGGAAGATGCCCCGTAACCGGTGGGCAGGCTTGAATAGCAGCTGCCCATCGAGCCTTGTCGTTAACCGTGCCTGCAAATAATGAGTTCAGAGGCTTCCCAGCCAACCTGCTGCAGAAAATAGTACAAAAAAACCCCTTTCAGAGCACAGCTCACCACCTTCTCCTCTTTGCCCTTGCCCCAGGGGTGCTGCTGTGGTCGTCTTCACCTCTGCTAGCGAAACCTGGCAGTGCTCCTGGTCTCGAGCCCCTCTGATGGGAAGATGCTGGGCATTAATTCTCGCCCATCTAGAGCCAGTTCCCCTGTCCCTTGCATAAGAAGGAAGGATTTTCATCACCCTGTCCTTACAGAAGCTCTTGCAGCTGGAGGAGCTGTGAGTCTGCCTGTGCAGTGGAGATGTTTTCATAACTGAGCTTTGGAGCAAACTTCTGCTGCTGGAGTTTCTTATTTTGGGGCTGGGACACGTCCGCTCTCGGAGCTCCCTTAGCCAGGTGTCCTTCCCGCTCCTCAAGCTGTCCTCGCTGCACGGATGGAGGGTGGTGCTGCCACCTTCCCTACAGCAGCGCTCCTGGCCAGGGCTTCGTTTTTGGGCACGGTGCTTCGGTGTGCGTGGGCAGCCCCCGTGCTCCCCCCCGGCCCCGCCGCCTCGCGCTTGATGTGCTGCGGCAGCGCGGAAAACTGCAGACCCGAGCGCTTTGATAAACCAGTGAAGATGACAAATGGTGAGGCTGGGGGAATGGTGAAGAGAGAACCGCCTGACCTTCAGGATTCAGGGGGATGAGAGGAAGAAACCAGAATTTCTTTGTGTTTTTGTAGGTGGGCTGGGGAGGCTGATGCTTGTGCTTTGTCCTTTGCGTCTACTGGCTGTTTTTAAGGGTTCATTCTTTATCCAAGATTCCCAAGAAGAATTACTCCTGTGCTTGCTGATCCCAGATGTCTATCAGGGGCTAACTCAGATCATTGCTCCCAAACTAGTCCCTGGCAGGGGTGAGGGATCTTTTCCCAGTAAAGCCTACCAGACCTAGCTGTGAGGACAGGAGGTGTGTTTTACATTCCGTGGGCCGTACGTAGCCCCTGGATTGCTGGTTGCTGTCCACCCTATGGAAAGCCACAAGTGCTGGACATGCTGCAGAGCTGCTGCCTTCAGTTCTCCTGTAGCAAGTTGGTACTGTGGAGACTGTGATGCTGCTGGGGCAGATGCCCCTCTGAAAAGTCCCTGGCCTGAAATATGTGCTGGGTATCTCCGATTCGTTTACCCTTTCTCCTTGCACAAGTTCTTTACGTGGATGCAGGGTGTTTTCAAAGTCTCTCCGCTGCCTTCCTGGCTGTGGGTTGCAGTGCTCGTGCAGATCAGTGGTGTCACACACCTCCCCCTGCAATCTGCCCCCCCTGCCCCGCACGCCTGTGCCTGGGTCTGCCTCCTGATGGGCTCCATCCTAACCACAGCCCTTGTTTTCCCATTTTCCTCCTCCTGGTGAAGCTCTGCTCTGGGCTGGCTCTTGCTGGAGCACTGACAAATCTACAGGTAGAAAGGAAGATGCAGGGGGGGGACGGAGTGGGGATAAATGGCTGCATTCTGGCGCAGGGAGCTGGTGCCTGCTTGCAGCACAAAGATCGTGAGACTGGTCTGACTTGAGGCTTAGACTTAACCTATTTAGAGATCCGTAAACAGGTTAGAGGACCCACTTTCCCCATGTCACCCATCTCCAGTTTCACTGTTTGTCACTCGAGCTCGATGCACATGTTGAGTCAGGCGGTGGAGTAGGGAGGACTGTGTTTGGTGAACCTCGACCCTGGTTCTTCCTTGACAGTAATTTCAGTTAAGGTGTTTGAAACAGTTGGTGAGAACGTGGAGCTGCTCCTGTGCCTGCTCTAAGTGATCCATGCCAGCCAGAGGAAGACTTCAGGACTTGGATCCCTGGTTTTACATACCTCTCTGTGTGGCCTTAGCTGCCCCGATGCCCTGGCTCGCTTTGGGAGTGCTGTTGATGGGGTCCTGAGGAGGAGCAGAGGCATCTGCTAATGCTCTGTGCAAGTGTGTTTTGATAGTTTAAGTTTTAGACCCAGCATGACCTGCGGCCCGTGCTTGGGTTCCAGTGGTCACGTCATGTCTTGCTGTGTATCCTCAGCTCTTGGAGAGCTCTGGTTCCAGTGGAACAGCATCCTGGCAAGCTGGTGCTGCTGGTGTTTCCTCGTAGTGCCATGCCTCATGCAAGCTCTACGAGAAGTAGTCAGTTTGGGGCATTCACCTGCTCTTTGAGAACATCGGGCTGATGACTAAATGTCTCCTCTTGCCACCAGTGCTCCTGTGATGTGAAACCTTTTCTGTTTTCTTGGAAGGGACCTTCAGCCTGTGGTGCCATCCCAAGTTTGAAGACCGCTGCCAGTCCGTGGTGGAGTTCATAAAGAGAGCAATCATGCACTCCAAAAACGGGAAGTTTCTCTACTTCCTCCGATCCAGGGTTCCAGGTGAGGCTCCCGCTCCAAGTCCGAGGGATGTTTTGCTCTGTGACAAGCTGCTGGTCTGTCCTAGAGAGCCACTTTCATGTGGCTCAGTGCCCTGGTCCACATCCTCACCCGCTGACTTCTCAGGAGGATCCTGAGGAGCCACTCTCTCTCTCAGCAGCTGCACCACTTACTCCTGGTGGTAAGGAGAATTCCCAAACCTTTCTTTCCAGGAGTATGGAAACGTGATACCATCTCACACTATGACAAATGGAGCTGGAGACTGGAAAGCTACTCTCTTGACAAGCAATTATTTGACTACTAAAACTCTGCTTTCCTCCCTCCCCCAGTCTCAGCACTGCTGTTCTTGCAAACCACTCCAGGCTTTGCAGATTCCCAGTTCTCCCTTAGCTGAGACCCACCTGGGGCTGTCGAGGGGAGAGACATTAAGCTGAATGTGTGGGAGGGTTTCCAGGTGTGAGCTCAGAGTGAGCCTCGAGCGACAGATCCTGTGGATTCAGAGTCCCTGGGGGGCCGTGATGCCAGAGCCCAGCAACAGGCAGGTGCCTGCAAGCACGGAGGGAGCGTTTGTGAAGCTTTGTTGGAGCGTGTTTGATTGCATGCTGTTGGGATTCCTTGTTTCCCAATCCATCAAACTCTGGTTCCTTAAATGGGCTCACATCCCCCTCCTGCTAAATCCAGGCAGGCAGCTGGACCGGTATCTTCTGGATCTAATTTTTTCTCGTTTTCCTTCATCTGTCCTGGTGTACCAGCAAGCTAGCCAAAAAATCCAACGTGAAAAGAGAAGGGTTTGTCAAATAGGTAAATTTGCCCCTTACATGCAAGAGAGCAGCAGTGGGGGACGGAATTTGGAGGGGGGGTGAGCGGTGATGCTTTGAGCCAAACGGGGTGGGAATGGGAACGCTGCGGCGGTGAGACGGGCGGTGGTGGCGCAGCAGAGGGGCACGGCTGGCGTGATAGTGATGATAGTGAATTTGCTCGTGGTGCCCGCAGGTCCTGATGGTGACAGTGACCTCTCCGTGGCACTGCAGCGTTCAAGGAGAGCAGAGGGGAGGAGGGATGGGATGTTCCCTCCTCGGAGTTCGCAGCCGGGATCTGTTCAGTGTTGCCCTCTGCTGCACACACCGCCAACAACCAGAAAACTGATTTATAACGTGGCCATGCTTTGGGGAGGGGAGGGATGTAAAGCTGACTTTGCAATGTACCCCACCTTCAAAAAATCCTTCTGACTTAAAGATCCTTTACCTTCCTGATCCCGAGATCTCCTGCCCTGGAGAACGGGGCTGTGAGGGCTTAGAGCTCCAGGCATATGTCTTAGAAAGGACTTGCTCTAGAAAAATATCATTGGAAAAGAAAATATCACCCCCCCAAAAAAAGTACTGCAGAGGCCCTCCGAGCCACCAGCCAGCGCCGGGTCCTGCACCTCCATCTGGGTGCAGCATTGGATCCGGATGCTCCTTGATCCTCGAAAAACAAAATCTCGCCCTGATGCCTGATGTGTAGTGGGAGAACATTTAGGATCGGCGTCTCCCCAGTGTGCTCGTTAGTGCTGT